TTAACAGATGTTATTTTTACTGTGAATGCTCAACCTTGATAACTCAGGTCAGATATCAATGTGAAAGGGAAACACTTCCCAATGCCCAGGTCTACTTTAGGTGTTGTTTTAAGGTTCTTGCAGCAACCCATAAATGGCTCTATTATAACTCTTCTTCCATCATTCATGTGCACACTGTGTCACTGTCAGTTGGATTATCTCTCCTCACTTGACAGTAAGCTCCTTAAGATTAGGTATCTATCTTATTCATTTCTGTTTTGCCTGTTCCTAGCACTGGTGTTCAGTTAATATTTATTGAGTGGGTAATGACTTCCAGATGGCAGGATTTTAATTTTGCTTTGGAAACACTGAAAGATAGATTGTTAAAATTTCATAATACGACACACCTTAGATTAGGCAGGGAATATAGCCAGGTTTGTCACTTAGAAATTCAATTACATTTCCATATGCTTTATAAGCATAAAGTGAGGGAGAAAATAAGTGGAAGACAGTTCTCGCAGTTTCATTTGGCAGTAAAAGTAGATATATGCATACTATTTTAAAAGAACTAATTTGCATAAATAGAAAGTTTAGGAATGGTTAACTGCACTTTCACATTTCACAGAAATGTCTTCAGATCAAGTTCAAGCCACATATTAGAAATAAGATGTCCCATTCAAATAAAGTAATAATAATGGCATTTCTGTGCTCAGGGCTGTATTTGTAAAATTGCTAGAAAAAATAAAAGGAAATTGAAAATTAGGCATTGTCTTAAACACCTGATAGCCAAATCAATCTGACAATGTTTCATAGGTGCTGTCTGCAGAGACCAGCTCAGATTGTTCACCTGTCAGGGGGATCCAAACCCCAAACCTGTGACCTTGGTGATATAAGACTGTGCTCTGACCAACTAAGTTAACTGGCCAGCCCTCTGAAGCTATTCTTAAAGCCTTTCTGCTGCTATTTGTTTAAAGAAAATCCTATCAAATCAGCTAAAAATTAGTGTGGTTAATGAAAACTCCAATTTACATGAAGAAATACACATCATCATATGTCTGGAAAGCAGTAGACAAAACTTATTATTTACTAATGTTTTAAAGTTAAATTTGGGCTGGCCCGTGGCTCACTTGGGAGAGTGTAGTGCTGATAACACCAAGGCCATGGGTTCAGATCCCTATATAGGGATGGCTGATTAGCTCACTTGGGAGAGCATTGTGCTGACAACACCAAGTCAAGGGTTAAGATCCCCTTACCAGTCATCTTTTAAAAAACAAAATAACGTAAAATAAAATACACACGACATTGATATGCACATACATGTACATCAATTCCACTTTAGAAATAGGAAACCTATCCCTGGGTGCAAAAAAAAGTTTTAAAATAATTTATTATTACTATTCTACTATATGTAGAATATACAGATATGGAAACTGAGAATACAATATGTGTAGAATATACAGATATGGAAACTGAGAATACAACCTTTGGCCAAGAAAGAAAAAATCAACATATTTTAAATTATATTTTTCTGTTTTTCTACACATACAAATATATATCTACATGTTTGGATATACAAATGATACACACGCTGTTTTGTAGACTTTTCCCACTTGACATACAGTACAAATCTTTTGCAGGTCATTAAACATTATTTTAAAACTTAGATTCTTCAGCTGCATAGTATTCCCAAATGTGAATTTACCATAATTTAATCTCTTATTGTTCTGAAGTTTTCATTTTTAAAAAAAAATGTTAAAAAGAAAAACAGAAAAAGAAAAAGAGAAAGGTTGTTGAATGTTCCCTCACATTTCTTATAAATGACAGTGCTTTTGGAGTAGTTGAACAAGCTTTTAATCCTGTAAAATGTTCCATTCTTATAGCTACAGCTTTGCCTACGATAAATTCTATCCAGAGGGATTTCTTGGTCAAAGAATAAACACATTTCTAAGGCTTCTGATGGATATTGCCAAATTGCCCTCATATTTTTCTTCCAATGTATATTTTCTCCAGCAGTGTACGCTTCTCAGTATCTTGAGCTGCACTGGGATTACCATTTTCTAAAATCTTTGCTTGTACTGCATTTTGAAATCAGTCTTTAGAATTTCCTTAAACTCTCTCCTATTGTTCCTCTTGTCTCCTGATACCCAATCTTCATCTAAATGGTTCTACTGTCCTTCCCAGACCTAATTTCATTCGTGCTTTTCCACTGCTCAAATCTTATGATGGCTTTGTTATAACAGTGAAATTTGCCTAGCTAGTAGTTTATCCCCTTAGACTCTTAGAACCAAAGTATCAACCAAGTAATCTGATAAACTATCCAAGCTAATTAATGTAAAGGGGCTCATTCCCAGAAGTACATATACAATATATCTTGAGCAGTTTAAGAAAACTGTACTAGCTCCAACAGCAATGTATTTTATCTTATAGAGCACTGGTTCCCAAATTTTGCTGCAATTGAAATCACCTGGAGAACTTTTAAAAGTACTCTAAACACTACTAAAAATAGTCATCTCCTAGAGATTCTCATAAATCTGTTATAGGGTATAGACCTGGGCATTAGGATTTTTTTTTTTTTTAACAGTCCCTAGGTAATTCTAATGGATCATGTATGTTTGAGATGAGTTAGAGAGATACCCTAAGTAGTTTCTTCTTGGATATTATTGGAGGACCCCAGGGAAGAAAAGCACAATGAACATAATCTCTATAATCGAACTCACTGCACAAGATAAAGGAGAAAAGGGGAAGTCAGGGGTGAGGCATTTGCCAATGACAACACAATAAAGTAGCATTCACATTTCTTGATGCTATGCAGATGCTGCTGTGTTAAGAAGTAGGCCGAGCTTACTCTCTTAAATAGCTTCAATTGCTTTTGTAATTGATCCAATTCACTCAAACTAAAATTAAAACAAGGTTTATATCATGCAATTTAGTGGTAGCTCTTCAGGTTTCAATTATATAAATTACTTCCAGTGTACATTTATATTATTGTGTTAATGAAGTTAGCAATCCTACAGATTTTCTCCCCAATCCATAGTGGACCCTTGGGGACAACTCTTAGAAGAATAACTACAAGTACCAAGCACTTAAATACATTACTAAACCTCATAGCACCCTTAAGTTATTTATTTGCCCTATTTTACAGGGAAAACTCCAGAAAATTTGAAGTGACACTAGTAAATTGCTTTACTGGATAGCATATGTTTCCATCTGGACTGAATAATCTTTCCAATATTTCACAATTCAGAAGAGAGGTGATAAAAGCCACTTCTCTGCAAACCTACTCCCGAACTACAGTGTCAGGTGAGGACACTTGTTACCTCATCTATTCCTGTGACCTGGCTTTACACATATTACCATTTCTAAACACTGCCTGAGGGCATGCTCGGTAGAGTTCCCTACACAGCCTTGCCCTCGATAGGTCAGCAGCCTTGTTGGAGAAAAAAGGCTTTTCTCCAAATCTGCCTTTTCCCAAATTACTTATAATGAAGAAGCCTTTCTTGGTGATGTGAAAACTAAGAATAATCTCTACAGCTAACATGGCAGTTTGATTCTTTTTTCCTGTTTTCTTTATTTTTAATTTATTGTAGCAGGTCATTTAACCCACCTAGCTAAACACCATTGTTCTACAGAATCTTTGAAGGGTGTTACTTCCAAATTACATAATTTTATGGGGGAAAAGAGAGATTGCAGGGCTTCCTACATAAAGACTAATTTTCTTGGTACCAATGCTAGAGAAGAGGATGATCATCCTTCCACCATGTCAGCATTATAGTAAGCAGGAGGGAAGGATGGGAGTACGTATCTTCATAGACTTAAGAGACAAAGAGCTGGAAAATGCGGCTGGATTCAGAAAAAGCAAATCCATACGAGGAATGTGCTATAATGCCTCGAGTAAGGGGACTTTAATAGAAAAAAAGTCCACAGACTATGTAATCCCACACATAATTAGAATGCACTGGGAAAAGGAACCCTGTAGGAAAAATCACGAGTTTTTCATTTCTTTTTCTACTTGTCATTCCTGAAAGGAGTTTACCAAAATAACCTGAGATTAAAGCCCAAGGTCGGGGGGGAGGGAGGAGACTTGGTTTTAGAGGAGGGTTAGTTTAGATAAAAGAGGCTGCTCAGAAATACTGTCCAATCATAGGGCTCAGCCTTGCTGCAGACTGTAGTTTAGATTTTAGATTCTCTGACACTAAAAATAATGCTTCTTACCATGGAATAAACCAGAGACAGTTACATTTGCCTGTCCATAGGGGGAAAGAAACATACACCCATGATACACTGGAGAGAAACGTTACCCTTCCAAGTAAAGGCAGAGGTTATCACCTTCACAGCTTAGGACATAAAATAAATGCTGCAGGGCAGGCAGAAAGCACGCTTCATGCAAACAAGGGCTGCCGTCGCCTCCGTCCCCTCTTTTTCTGCCAGCCAGGCCTCCTGGCCTCCTTTCTTGGGCTGAGCTGAGAATTGCCATGGATGAAATGGGAGACCTGTGGGGTTCCTTAAAGGATTCGAAGAGCCCTGCCTGCTGCATCCGGGAATGGAAAGCTCCACAGCCAGGGTAGGATGGAAGACTGCCCGTGACCGCTTCTGCTTTTGAGGTGACAGCACTACCAGGAACCAGAGCCTCTTTTCCCCGAGCTTTCCTAAAACATTTAACTTACTGTCTGCCCACCCCTATAGGAGAACGAAAATGCCGAAGGATTTGTTTCTTGACGCTGTAAACCAAGAAAGAGTGGGATACTTAGGACAGATGGAGAGTTAAACAATTGTCAAATTCTACTGAAGTACTTCACCTCCTATGTCACAAACGCAGATGAGAAGACACAGATCTAGTCCGCTGCTAGCAAGGAGGTGAACGCGATACCGTGAAAATTCCCGACCAGATCACCTTAAAAAGCGGTCGCCTCATTGCGTTAGAAAAATATGCGCTCTCGTGGAACACGGTAGGGAAATTTTGTTTCCCCATCAAACATTGTTTAACAGGAGGGAGAGAGAAGCAGCGCTGGGCTGCGCCTCACCACTTGCTGTGCGCCCCGGAAAGTCGCGTCCAGCAGCATCAGCTTCCAGGGATCGGACACGGAGCTGGGCAGCGGGATGTAGACGTAATAGGCGGCCAGCGCCACCACGGCCGTGAGCAGGACACAGGACGACCTCATCCTCCCCTGGCTCGGCTCGCCCGCGGGTTAATGAAGAGAAAAGGGCGATGCCACCCAAAAGCCTCCGGCAAGTTTCTGCCAGTTGCAGCTGCTCATTCACGGTTTTTTTTTTTTTTTTTTTTATAAGCCCAGGAACCAATCAGAGACCGCGTCGGGAGGAAGTCGGAGCGCTGACGTGCCCCCTCTACGGTGTCCTTCCAAGTGTTGCAGACTCTCCAGGTTGGAGGGAGCTCGGGCGCTGCGCTGGGCACAGCACAGCGGACTCTGGAGGACACCGTTCTGTATTGCATGCCTGTGAAGATGGGCTTCCTCCCGAAGGTTCTCTGTCCAAAGCACGTAGGTCGTTCTGACTCAAAAATAGAGATATTATTGAGAAAGATAGTAAAAATCCTCTGTTTTCTAGAGCCGGACTTGCAATGTAATGTAAGTTCTGATATAAGCAGATATTCACAAGTTCTTTTAGTTCAAGCAGTGACAAAACGCTGGTAGTACATCTAGCACCCAAGTCTTGGTTTCTAATTCTTTGCCACGCTTCTTGAGAAAAGGCTGATTCCAGGGCTGGAACAGGTAAAATATATGATGAGCCCTGTGGCATGAAAACCTGAGGCCTGTGAGTAAATTAAATTGTTTGAATGAACACATTGTTTGGAAACAAACTTAAGCTAGCTTTTCTTAAGTGGGTTTTCATCATAAAAATTCTACTATAAAATACACATTTTTAAAGTCCAGTTTATGAATCTTCTAGCCCCCCTCGCTTCTGGCCGTCTGTCCCTGACCAGCCAGCCCTGGCGCACTTCCCGGACCTCCATGTGCCCAGCGCAGAGCCCCTCAACAAAACCGATACTCCTGATCCCCCTCCTGGACAGGGTGGATTTTGTTTTTGTTTTTGTTTTTCAAGAAGCAAATATTCTAGAAGTTAGAGCATGGGACATGAAACTGGCCAGCCTGGCTTCTCCTTCAGACCTTCAGCTCATCGGATAACGCCTTTGGGCAGCTGTTTAACCTCCCCGGGCTTCAGCAGCCTCCCCCATAAAATGGGAGATAATTCCAGTAGCTGTTTCAGCGGTTACTGTGAGGATAAAATGAGGTAAGTCAGGCGAGCATTTAGCAGGATGCTTAGCATGTAGTAAGTGCTCACGGAATACTACCTGCCATTACCATAATGGTTATGGTTATTATGACAGTCTTCCAGGCAGCCTCCATAGGTCTGAGAGCCACACAGGGCCTCTCCTGGTTAAATCACAGCGTCCTTTCTCCCTCTCCTCACTGGGAGGCCTCCCTCTTCCCACAGGGCCCTTGTCCTGTCCACTTTCTCACCTCTTTGTGGCTCCCCACCCCCCTCTGCTTTGCTTCCTCTGTCCCAAGGCTGGCTTTGAGGGACGCTGGCTCCCCAGTCTTTGCAACAGTGTGAAAAAGATGATGTGGGGGTCTGGTGCGAGAGGACCTGGATTCGAGGCCCTGTTCAGCTGCTTCCTATCGGGAGGCCTGGTTGTTTCCTTTGAGTAAATCAGGGCGGACTGTTCAAGTAAATCAAGATGGCCTGAGACCAGACCAACAAGGAGGGTCCCACCAATCAGGAAGGACCCAGGGCCAGCAATGTGTCACGGTGGCTCCATGCTGCAGGTGGAAGTAGCAGCTAGGGGTCCAGCAGGCAGAAGATCACAGGCCCCAGGACTGAGGGTGGAACTGGAGACAGACAGGCAGCCCTTCCCATCCATTGCTAGAACCAACTGAAGCCAGAGGATGCGGCGGCCACTGGTGTAGCTTCAGGCCACCTCCCAAGCCTGGGGAGAAGGGGGGCAGGTGGGCTGGGAGAGCAGGGCCGTGGGGAGCGGCACAAACCTCTCCCTCAAGGTGCTGCAGCCAGCTCCAGAACTGGCTTCAAACAGATCCTTGGTAACCATGGAAGAGATTTCTGGCAGGGGGACAGATGCCTTTCAAATCATTTTGTGTTGCTGGTTCCCCACCAACCCTCCTCACTGTCAACACCCAAAAAAACTCCTCTTGGTTCGGGTCACCCACCCAACTCCACTGATTGGTTTGGGCTCTGTTAATCCAAACTCGACTCCATTTCGGCCAGAAAGAACCAGGCCTATCTAGAAAGACAACTGCAACAAAAAAAATTTATAAAACCAAATACTGCAACCATGTGCACAGGAACTGGCTTGGGATTGTCTCGGTCATTGTACACATGCATGGAAAGTCAAGCCCCAACTGAGTTTATTATTTCACATGCTTGGAGTTAGAGTTGGGGACTGTCACATGGAAATGCATGTAGACAAACACACCCATAGGTGGAACTACACATAAATGCACATCCTTGCCTTTCCCAAATTAGGAATTCCTTTATTGGGCCTGGCTTCAGAAGGGGCCAGAGGCCACTGGTAAGGAGGGAGTAGAGCTTTCCTTTTCTTTGTATACCTGTCACTTGTGTTATTGTCCCTGCGAGCACTCATGATGTGGGTAACACAGAGGGGTTTCTAAGATGCCTGGCGGAGGGTGCAGCGCTAGATGCATGTGCAGCCCGGGGCTCACTGCTGTCCAACCCTGTGGATCTTGGTAATGTTGACAGGCCTTGTCAGGCAGACAGGGGAGGACGTGGGGTGGGACAGGCAGAGGAGTAGCCTAGAAGGAACTGCATGTCCACAGCTCCCTCCTGTGACCTGCAAACCTGTTCTTTCGCATTCCTTTGGCAGGCCACCATCTTTTTCTGTTGCTTAAAACAAAATACCAGGGACTGGGTAGTTTATAAAGAAAGAATATTTATTGCTTACAGTTTCAGAGGCTGGGAAGTCCAAAGTCCAGGAAACACATCTTGTGAGGTGACTCTACAGTGATGCAGGTGTCACATGGCGGGAATGGAGAATCAGGGAGAGACACTCACACACCCTCCTTTTAAAGCCCTCAGAACCATGCCCATGACCACCATTAAACAATCAATTGGATTAATCCATTCACTAGGGCATGGTCCTTGCAATCTAACCTGCTTCTTTTCCATTTCTTAGGGGGTATTTTCCAGACCACCACTCACATGAGCTTCTCCTGTGTAGAAGCCTCCCTTCTTCCAGGCCTCCTGCTCAGCTGATGGTCCTGGGGCCGGGTGGGCCGTGCTTGCTCCACTTCCCCTGGCAGGACACCTGGGTCTTGCACCTGCCCTGCTTAGGGCGGGCACATCAGCTCAGCTGGTAGAAGTGTGAAAATAAATAGATCATGGCCTGGGGCAGACTCTGAAAGGCCCAGTGTTATGCCCAACAGAAAAGCCTGGCTGCCCCCAAAGTCCCCAGAGCCATCTCAGGATTCCCAGGGCCACCCATTCCTGACAAAACCCTAGAGGCCCATACAGTGCCAAGGACGGTGGGTCTGGCTGTGACCTCCCAAGTGAACTCTGCTCACGACTGAGCTGGTGACTCTCCAGTTCCTCTCAAGCTCAGCTCAGAAGAACCAGGCCAGGAGCTTCCCCAAACACCCCAGGACAGCCCTGGCCTTCATCCTCACCTGGGGGACAGTGGCAGAGCTGCAGCAGCACCTTCTTGCATGTGAACAGCACCCAACAGTTTTCAAAGCACACCAACAGCTTCACAGGATAACCCTAGAGGAAGGATGGGCAGAGGGGTCCCCTCCATTTATGCAAGTGAGGAAGCTGAGTCACTTAACGCAGGGTCCCAGTGTCCCATGACCGGTGTTGGGAGCCAGCCTGGAGCCCACGTCTTTGGACTCAGGCAAGGGCTCTTTACATCAGAAAGAGGGACTTCCTGGTGTAGGTCATGCATCAAGGATCCCCATGTCTCCTGAGTCTGAAGCCAGGAAAGCACAGGGCTCCCCTCCCCACCCTTCTGATGTGGCTCCTGTGAGCACTTACAGCCTTCAGCTATCCCTGGGCTGCCTTCTGACAATGAGCAGAGGGCTCAAGGGTGGATTCCTGCAGTGACATGGCCACTGGGACCCAGCCTCTGGAAGATTTGTGCAGCTCCTCCCTCCAACTCCATGGCTCTGGTTGTGGACTGTGAGGATGCTTTGAACAGAAGAAGGTTGTGTGTTTAGAACAGGCTGCAGGTGTTCTAATCTTTGAGGCCACAGAGCACATTCTTCAAGTGCAATTGGGCACACAGTCCAATAAAATCAGAGGACCTACCTGGGTGACATGGGTTTGGGGCTGGGCCCTGCCTCCTCTGTCCTGCCAAGGGAACCCCTCACTCTCCAGGCCCTGGAGTCAACTGCAAGGAACCCCTAGGTCACTTGGTCGCACAATTTGAGAACATCCCTCCTGGTTGCATGTTCCTTGCCTTGGGGGAGCCTTGTCTAGCTCAGCAGCCCCTCTGTGCCAATGAGTTCCTGCAATCTCATTTGAGGTGGCCTCCCTGGACAAGCCAGGCTGCAGTGGGAGAATGACAGGGAGGCAGGAAGTGAGGTGGGGGCAGCTTTCTGATTCTTCTCCTGCAGGAATCCTGCCAGGGGCCCATGGTGTCCCTTCACCTGTGACTCTAGGAGAGTTGGTGAGGACCGTAGGTCAAGTGTGCAAAGGGAGAAGGAGAAATGATTCCTGCCTTTGGGGAGTTCCCAATCTGATGGGGAGTGTATATGTGCACAAACACACACACACACACACACTGCGCACACACACACATCCACACACCACACACATATGTGTGCACATACTGCACATGCAAGTACACGTGCACACACTGCACACACATGCATGCACACACTGCACATATACATGTGGGCACACAAACACACCACACACAATTGCACATGTGCACACACACTGTACACACATGCACAGTGTACATGCATGTACACACACATGCACAGACATGCACACACACACACGCCCATGTGTGCACATACACATCCTGCAGAGCAGCAGGCCTCAGCGAGTGGACTGCTGGTGTGAAGGCAGGGCTGAACCAGCTGAAGCAATTGGGGAAACATCCTCAAGGAAGAGGTACAGAAAAGAAAGGAGGAGGCCTGAGGTCACCCCCGCTACCAGGAGGGCAGGTCCTACACATGGCTAGAGCCAAGAGGAATGCCAGACAGGCCATGCCTGTGCCAGCGTGGGGGTGGGGGCATTTCCTCAGAGGTGTCCAAGGTGTTCC